GACAACAGTATGGAGAATATGCATACTGATGTTAGGCTGTAGAGGGCCAACAACATTGTGCTTTTATTATTATGTAAAAACAAACACATTCAATGTTGCCATGGGTCTGTTCAGATCACAGCAGATGTCCAAATGTAAATAGAACAAAAAAATAGTTGAACACAAGAAGCAGCCAAGAGTGTCACTGATTAGATTTTTCTTCACCCACTCTTGCTAAAACATGTCAACAAATTTTAGGCATGCACCAGTGTTAGACAGTGTAGCTTAACATGAATTTTAAGTAAAAAGGATTTGGAATGTTGTAAAAAAAGCTACAGATTTTACATCTTTAACCCTTTAATCCCTAAGAATGATAAAAATCTAATTACTCCCAACAGTTTTACCTCTGGATCAAACATTGAGGTCATGAGAAAAAAGGAAATGATCACAAACCCAAGAAACTCTTCATTGTTCTACAAATTCTCCTTGTTGGTTGAAAATGTATAGAGAACAGTATGGAGAACTTGTATACTGATGTTAAGCAGCAAAGGGTTAGGGATTACTAAGCTATTAATGTCTACAAAACAACAGGGAAATACAAATGAAAAGCTGAAATTGAAATAGGATATTGGACTGATTCAGTCTATATACACTACATGCAAGTATTTGGGGATTAAGAGGGTTAAGTTTCTAAAGAAACTATGGTACTGCATTGGTGGAGGAACAGGGTAATTCATTATTATCAACTGAGTTGATAACGTATAGATTGGCCACCTTAAAGAATTACAAAGCTAATGTTTCAAGCCTTGGCCCTTTCTCAGAGCCATGACAATGGGCTAACACTCGAAACATCAGCTTTATAACTCTTTATGGTGAGTTACCAACTCAGTTGATAACACTAAATTACCCTATTTGAGGGTTACTTATGCATGTAACTCATGATGAAATATCAAACAGTAAATTAGATGTATTTACCATTTTTTGCAAATGAGTAGATAATGGCTTTATTTGAACCCTCATCATCATCAACTGCAGAGACTTCCAAAACTGTTGCAGGCTGTACATTTTCCAGAATGGGCTTTTCATAGTTGGATTGTAAAAATCTTGGTTTGTTGTCATTTACATCTGCTACTGTTATATGTACATTAGCAGTTCCTTTAAATAGAGGATTACCATGATTGGTTGCACTCACTTCTGAATGATCTGTTTGTTTGTACCATCATCTGCTTCAAATGCAGTAACAAATATAAAGGTGTGTCCTACACTCCAACATTCTGAGACCATTTCTTGAAAATCGGAATTCACAAACTGAGGTGCATTGTCATTGACATAAATAAGATATATCTCCACTGAGGTTTCATTGTAATTTGGCGATTTGTCTTTGTCTTGAGCCATCAGAAAAAGTGTATGCACTGGAATGTTCTCATAATAAAGTTTCTTGTTTACTTTGATCTGACCATTAAGATGATTGATAGAAAAAAGTTCCTGGTCTTTACCACTGCTAAAACTGTTGGTGACTTCACCATTGGTGCCAAGGTCCTCATCTGATGCACTCACAATCAAAACTAGCTCCCCTGTTTTGATGTTTTCAGGAATCTTTTTGGAGTATTCTCTCTTTAAAAACTGAAGATCACAGTCATAGTCATCAGTAACAGTAATTCGCACAGTGGCCTGGTCTGTCTTAGGAGGGGATGCACTATCACTTGCCCGGACAGTAAGGGAATATTGCTGTACAATTTCTCAATCCAGATGTTTGTCTACAGTTATTGAACCACTACTTTGACCAATTGCAAATGCACTGCTAACACCACTTTTATTAATGATGTTGTAACGACTATCTGCTTTGGAACCTGTAACTAAATCGCGCGCCCGCACATCAAGGACCGTCTCTCCGATATAGGTAAATATTCTCTGGTATGACTTTGCTGTCGGAGGATGATTCGAAGTTCGGCGCGTTGTCGTTTACATCATCGACATATATGGTCAGATCTGCTTCAGCATACAACGATCTATCTCGTTCGTATTCGGCTTTGATACGAAAATAGTGCGTCGACATCTTTTCACGATCTAAAGAAGCGGAAGTTTTTATTAATCCCGTGTTAGGACCGATCCCAAATAACAACAGACTGAGTAAATTCTGGGACACTTCCATCGAGTATTTAATTTTCCCAGCGTACCTATTGTTCGTATCTTGTGCTTGAATCGTAATAACGCTTGTTCCTACGAAACGATTTTCTCTAACCTTAGCAATTAACTGAGAGCTGGAGAAACGGGGAACTGTTTTCTATGGTCGACGATGAAATCGGCGTACCTTCTTGGCAAAATTGTTTGCGTTTTTATCGATAAACAACTCAAGTCGCGCTACAATAACTTGTTTATTTCCACTCGCATTCTTAGAACCAACCGGAAATACCAACTCCACTATCAGAGTGTTTTCTTGAAGTCTAAGTAACGATTTTCGAAGCACCAAATAATCGGATTTGGCGTCGAATCTAAAATACTTTCTCCATGGTGTCTCTCTAAGCCTTAGCGACGCATGATCTTCTTCGTGAATGAAGTCTTTCAATCGAAACACACGTGTTCCGACTGAAGCGGTCCAAGACACTTTTCTCTGAAGCTTTCTAAAGCAGTTTTTTCCAAAAATTGTCACAGTCAGAGGTCTTTGAGTCCTCTCTGCTGAATTAAAAATGGAAGTCGATGATACATAAATATTAAACGGATTGAGCTGTAGAGATGTGCAGTCTGGCTTGTGAATCATTCGCAATAATCCGTTTGTTGAACAGTATACAGAATTTGAAGAAGGGTCGTGTGTTCGTCGGTGTTCAATGCTTCAAGCGTGTAATTCGTCCATCCCGGTCTACTTAAATTAGCTAAAATACTATACGGCTCTAAAGATGAATAAATATCAATAACGGTGCCGTCCACTCGATGAAAAGGCCACAGGCACAAGTGTATAAGAAAACCCAACGATACGCGGTCGAAACAAGCCATTTGGCGGCGAGTCTGTTGACACCGTGTTAAGATAAGCGCTTTTCATGAGCGAAGTTGAAAATCACCAGTTCTTCCTTCAGCATACGTAAATGAACAACACTCGCTATTTTACTTTTCCATAAACACGGCCCAAGATTGGATAAAGCGCTCATCTTAGAGCACACGAGCTTTGAAACACCTTTGATCTTTCCTCTTAGTTTAGTCGAGTGTCGGCAAGAGCTCTAAGTTTGATTGACTGACAAGTTCAGCTAATTGGCTTCCTCGCTCTCACGTGATCAGTTTCTGTAGCCGCGCGAGTTATTGAACCCAAGGTTTGCATGACAAATAAAACTATTTGATTTTCCACAAGCATTCTTGTGTGATTTTTTTGCAAACAAAAGAAGGACTAGAGGCTCACCGTGTGATCAAACAGCAAGTGTTTTTCATTTCGAAATATTGAAAAGTTTTCAAAAACATCGTTCAAATCAAGAACTTTCGCAAAATTGACAAGATTTGCGCGGAATTTTACAAATTTTTTAGTGGAAATAAAATTGATTGAAATCGCTTTTGACAATATATTTAACTCCGACTTGTATCTTAAGGCTTGAATGCCTGTCACACAAGATACCTTGATGATATTGCTTTAGCGTAAGCGCAAAAGTTAGTCTCTAATTTTTGCAGCTGAACCAAAAAATAAAAAATATATCTATTATTGCACATGATTATTATTATTACTATTGCAATAACACAACCAGACCTTTGCCTGGGTCATCCTTCATCTGATTTGTGCTCAATCCCCAGATGAAAGATCGCAAATAATTAGCAAAGCGAAATTGTACTTGTAAACGAAAGCGTAGCGTGCGTGACTCTGACATTTCCTCTCAAATTCTTGACGTGCCAAAAATTTGCAGTGCGGAAAAAAACTCTCTAGAATATTTTGTCAAGTATGTTGTCTTTACAAGTGTTTGTAACTTTGAACGTGTCAAGACTTGCTAATGATCGGTTGACGATAAAACACAAGAGACAGGATCCAAAAATATGTGATATTGAGGCTGCCTATGGTTTGTCTTAGCCATAATATATCTTCTCATTCAACAAAGAAATTCTTTTTCTTCTTTCCAAACTTGGAATAATAAAAAGATCGATTAAATTTCAAACGGGGAGATATGTCCTTAGATTTTAAAAATTCAAGGAATAATTAAGTCGCTAATTAACGATTGACAGAAATACGATATAAGGCGAAATTAAATCAAATATGGATACCAACAGGTATGAATTCGGAAGTATATATTCAAGAAGGAAGTTGATGCGACTGGGTTGTCATCTTGAAATAAAAAAAAAATGTGTCCTGAAATCTTACAAAAAATGACAGCCATCTGTTTTGAAAACAAAGTGCACTGCTTCGGCGAGTCATTCTAAGTACAGGCGTTGAGTGCAGATCCGCCTACACTTGCTATGCGATATCTCAAAAATCACAAGAGACTCTCGACATCAAAGCCGTAATCAATTAAAACAGAGCTTACACTGATTAAAATTTGACGCAATTACTCAAGAGCCTTGAGAGCAATGCAACTTATCAAGCATTCTCTGAAAAAAAAAATACTCTTAAAGAGAGCGATACATATCATAGCGCGAATAATTTTCACGCTGATACAGTTTGAATGAAAACGCTAATTTTCCATTTGTGATTTCCTGATAGCACAGCCAAGAATTCAAGCTGAGAGTTCAGGGGCAGCAATGCTCATTTTTCATGTTTTCAAGCGAAAAGGATAAAATAAAGCTTCAAAGGAAGGTCGCTGATCGCAAATAAACGCTTGCCAATTACTGATAACTGTCTAAAAAATGAACAGAAACGTTATAGAAAAAGCAAGACGAATCAATATAAACTTGAAAAACAAAACGAGACCAAACTAAAACGACAAACAAAAACAAAAAACAAACGAAGAAAGACAAAGAGAAAGGAAATTAGAAACTGTTGGAAATGGGAAAATTGCTTGACAGCTGACGGTTGAAACAGTCTAATGACGCCACTAAACTTTATTTGTCACCAAATGGCTTCAAGCTTCAAGGATCTCTCACTTGATTGGCTGATTCAAAACAATGATGATGTCATGATTCTAATCTTTGATCAACAAGAAGAATATTATGCTAATTTGCCGATCAGCAACGGTATTCGAAAACATTAAAGCTACATGAGAATTTACCCATCTATAGATTATCATTAATCATTTTATTAGTATGGTTATTAGTATTTTTATTATTTACATGTATCATCATCGTCATTATTGCGATTGTTATTGTTATTCTCGCCTTTTCTATCCCAACAGAGCAGTGTTTACCTATCTGATAACTATCTAATTTTTTTACGAGGGGTTTCTCCTTAGAATTATTCAGCGTCAAAGGTGTTTGCTCATTTAAAACGCCTTGAACGTTTTATTCTTAATAGTGTTATAAAAAATTTCATAAGAACCATAAGATGCCTCAGTTACTCTCGATCTGAATTTTCTAACGTGTTGGATTGACTATCATTACGGAACCAAGTGATAATAAAATTATATTTATAGAAACCCGTTTATTCAGAAGTTAATTGCATTCTCCAGATGGTTGCAAGCTTATAATTTTCTTGCCCTCTTACTTGCTCGATTCGAGGTGAGGTCATCAACATTTAAAATTGGATTCTGAAATACATCTTTATGCAAAGTTAACGGCACCGTCTTCCTTTTTTTGGTTTTTGCTATCACGGAAGGAATATTTATATTCAGCGACTTTCGACTTTGTTCGGCAGGAATCTATTCATTCTCAGAGAGACACCTTAGAGAAAGGTAATTTTTTCTAGGCTATTTTTGTACCGTGTGGAACATTGAAAACATGGTAATTCTAAATATTATGTAATTCAGTTGTTACCTGCTGATGATGTGCCGTGTATAATTGATCATCGCCGATGATCATCATCTCTATTATTTCGACTCGGTTGTTAAATAATTATTTTAAAGCTGATGGTTTTTAGTACCATACAAGTACTGATTCTAATTCTGATCGGGGTGACTTCGACGGACATAAGAGTGTTGTTGTGTTAATACCATTATCTCGGTATATTTAGTATTTTGGGCCATTTTTTTAGTACTTTGCTTCTGTATGTTTTATCTCTGATAAAGTGCTTGTTAAATAAGCGTTGCTTTTATAGTTCTAGATCTAAGTGGTCGTTATAGCTGAATTATACTCGCACATTTACCTGTTTTTCCTCTTGACAAATAAAGGAAAAACTGCTGAAATATTTTGTCTTAAAATAGTACATTGAATAGGAAGAAAACAAGACAACATTGGAGGGAAAAAAAAATCCGTGGGAGAGATCATGCAATTCTGAGATAATCTACCTATTGTTATCAACGGACGGGAAACGTACCTTGCGCTAGAACATATAAAAAAAAGATTTGTTGGACATTTTTCTTCACAGTACCTGTCGGTTGAATTAGCTATTATATTTTGATTAATTTACATTATTTGTTCTTGGCCGCTCGTCCTAAAGAAAACGGCTAACTACTAATAACTTAAAGAAAAATAAAAGATAAAATGATGGTGATAATAGATAATAATTATTCGGCATTAAAGAAAAAAAAATATTATGACTGGTTTTTTTTTCTACTATTACAGGTATCATCGTCATTATTATCGTATATACTATTATCATTTTCTTTTCTATCCCAAGGGAACGTTCTTTTTCATGCGAGTAACCATCTATTTTCTCGGGGGGTTTCTCTCTAAGACACCTTGCATCGAAGGTAATTGCTCATTTGAAACGCGTTGAACTTTTGATGCTTAACAATGCTCTATCAAATTTCATATCAAGAAGTCTTGGTTTTTGTCGAATTCAGTTTCTTTTATCGTGTTGGAACCAGTATCTGTAAGGAGCAGATTGGTGATAAAAATTCTCGTTAAGTTTGTCTAATCAGAAGTCACTTCAAGTGGCTTCAGGAATGCTGTGACGAACGAGTAACATAGTTAATCAAAATGTATTTATAAATAATGCAATTTCTATTCTTCAGATTTCTCAGTTTGATACGAACTCCAATTTCTAAACTGAATATGTTTTACTTTTTCAGATTGTACAAGCGTTTTGAGTCAGATCACTGCCAAGTGCAAGAAAGGTAAAGTGTTCCTTTTTTTGCTCCCTTAGAAGTTTATTAGAAATGCCACAATATTATTATACAGGTGTAAGTGATCAGAAATTACAATACAACAAAATAAAATACAAAAAAAAAAGAACAGTCATATTTTTATCATAGGACAGACATTGACGACGTTTTCATAATTACTTTGCCCATTTCATGATAGCAACCGGCAATATAAATTCTTCATTCTAAGTTCTAAGGGTGAAATGTCAAATTGCATGACATGTTTTCAAACGCAATTTCGATCGTTTCTTAATAGCTGGCCATAAAAGCATCATTATCATCATTATCATTATTATAATTACTCAACAACAACAACAAGCCTTTATTTCTCACAAAATGGAATTACAATGAAATAAGAAAAATGATTATAATGAACAGGCAAAATAAACATAGTCGTATCATTTTGGAGCCTAAGGGCTGGAGGAACCTTTAGGTTTTTGAGCTAGCCCTCTCTGAATTATTATCACTATTGCTATCATTATTATTTATATGATTATTTGTTACCTTTGAATTATTGGTTGAAAGTAAATTGGTCGCTGTGCTGTATCAGTAGCTATATCAGTAGCCCACATGCAGTCTCAGACTGCCTATCGTTCCTTTATCGGTGGGAGAACTAGGCAGCACAACAATCAGCGGATTGCTCACTTTCCTACCAAAAAAGGCTACATCCGATTTTGATTATTTTTAACCTTTTTTTTTGTTTCCACGAAGATTGTCATGAATCCCCAGGTTGTTCTACTGCTCATGCTGTTAGCCGTCCCCTGCACATCTGCGAGTATGTTGCTACTGCCATTTTGTAATGTTTAACTTCTAGTCAACCGAGTGATTCCCTATGAAACCTTATAACCAAAAGAAGGAGAACTCCAAATTTTGACCGAATTGATACACTAAGTACTTGTCACAACCTGTCTAAACCATTCAACATCTCATGCTGGCGTTACATTTAAAAAAATAATGAGAAAAGCTTTAAATATCAGCTAAGAGGCTCGCCGTGATTGAGGCGTGTCTTACTGGTATTTGCGACATTTCATCGAAAACTCACCATCTTGAAACGTTTCCATGAAAATTTCATCGGACAATAAATGATTATTTTTAATGATGGTAATAATAACAATGATGGTTAAAGTAAATCTTATCACATACAGTTGAGTCAGTGAACTTCTGAATTGTGTATGATGTAGGCAATTTGTACTCCAATCGTTTCGTGAGAGTTTCAATAAATTGGAAGGCTTTATCTCTCATCGCGAACAAAGGGAAACTAACCTCAGGAGTTTGTTGCCATCAAGAAATTGTATCCGGCTACGTTCGGGACGGAGTCAGACCTTCTTAGGCGCCTTCCGGAGAAAAAAATTCCCACGGGCTGTTTTTAAGTAAACTTTCAGAAACTATGAATCGACGAAAAGGTTATTAAGTACAGAATTCGATAAAATCATAACGATAAACTGAAAAAATGTAAAGTGGAAGTTGATGATTATCAAACTTTGTCTTTGATGAAAAGTCACTGCAAAATGTCAATGAAAAAGATCAATCATTAAAAGTAAGCGGCTCAAGTCGTGAAGTAGCCCTTAACATTCATTATATATTTTTAGTAAGAAGTGTACAAGAAGTGCCAACGTTTTGTCACGGTTCATGTGTTTCTTTTAATCATCTGCTAGTAACTTGTCGAGGCGATCAGTTTGCTTGTGCAAATCAACAAAAGTGTATCCCAGCGTCTTCCCGTTGCGATGGGTTGACTGACTGTAGTGATGGATCAGACGAACAATGCAGTAAGTACTGTGGTTGATAAGTAACTTCTACTTCTGTACATCTTCTTATTCTTTATATGGGTTTAGCGTAAAAATGCTATTCTCAAAAAGTAATATTAAATTGGAAGGCTAACTCTCTTTTCAAAAATATATAAAAAATGCTATATTTTCTAAGAACCCCATCATTTGCAAGAACACCTCCAAGACAGCGGAATAAAGCTGTGACATAAATCATGTGCAGAAGTAGTTTTACAAAACTAAACTGGCTATTAGTTGAATGCCGTCACATTGGGCCATCTTTAGATTACAACCTTTAATGGCATGTAGACGGTTCTTGTGATGGCCAAAGTCACTTTAAAATCGAATGAAATAAACTGCAACTAGCTGAATGAGATAGCGGCGATTTCATATACGAGATGAACTCCTTTTGTATCTTACCGTTGGAAAAAATCAAATGCATTAATTGGGAGACCAGAAATGATGATTTGTACTTTGCAACGTAAAATGCTCTATATGATAAATTTTTAAAGCAAACCATTATCATGCATGCATGCAGTGAATGAACATTTCTAGATTTCTCAAATATAGTGTGTTCCTCAAGCGTTAGCATATTAATTTGAAAAGAGCTTTTCTAGAAATATAGTCATGCACCCATCGGCATTGCCTTAATTGACTGTATTAATTGACCGCACGTATCAAGAAATGGTCCATTGTTCCGGGTCAACTTTTCCATTAAGCATCAATCAAAAGACCTGAGTAATTGGTAGTTCTGATGGACTTTGACCGAAGGGAGGCGGAAAAGCTCGTAACTGATCGAAAAAATTATCGGAGTGACAATTTTGTTGCACTGGGGGAGTGGGTAGTGTAAATATGCACTGGTAAAATCAATCTCCATCGGTGTACCCAAGGGTAGACTTGACCCTCGTTTAGCACATCGAGCCAAAGGTTCGCAAATTCAAAAATAATTAAAGTTATCCGTATCGCAGTGACTCATTTAAACCACCTCTCTATATATGTAAGTCAAGTCGCCTGGTAAAATGTCAACGCACAAGTATATTTTTTGGTCTTACTACTGGTGTTAAATGCAGTCGACGATGACGGTTTTCTGTGGAGAGCCTCGAGGCGATTGAAGACCTTGTTTCTGGCGCACAGCTGTTTTCAAACGAGGCGCTCATTTTTTAGAACCAACATGTTTACCTAACACAAGGATTCTTATTTGCAAAAGCGCCAAATTTGTGTAACTATGTTGATGATAAAAGATATACTGATCAAAGCAATGATTTCTAGTTTTTGCAAGAGCATGTATTTGAGTTATTTTCGTTTTCAATCAAACGCGTAGCAAGATGAGGGTGTGATATTTTTTCACTCATAAGTCTCACAATGAAGAAGGTGCGGGGTTTTTATTTATCTTTTGAAAAAAAAGCAGGTCTTGCTTTAAAGTAAGTATCTCTCATTAAAAACTATTAGAGTTTACAGCGGATTCTTACAATCTTTGTTAAAAGTAAGGTGTTAACTCTCCAAATTTTCGCAGGGAGCAGGCGCTGGCGCACAGCTGTTTTCTAATGAGGCGCTCACTTTCTAGAACCAACATGTCTACCTAAGAAGAAGATTCCTTTTTCAAAAAAGCACAGAATTCTTGCAACGATGTTGATGACACAAGATGTACTGATCGAAGAAATTATCTCTAGTTTTTGAGAGAACATCTATCTTGAGTTATTCTCGATTTCAATCAAACGCGCGGCAAGACGAGGGTATGATATTTTTACTCACAACGGAGAAGTTTTGTTTTGTTTTATATTCTCTTTCGGAGAAAAAAAAAACGGGTCTTGCTTGAACTAACATAGTTTTACGACGGATTCTAACAGTCTTTATTAAAATTATAAAGCTATCAACAGTTTTCCCAAATATTCCCTTTGTAGAAAGCGGACATTATGACTTTATTTTTGTTTTCAATATAGAGCGAAAGCAAATTATGGGAGGCAATTGCGCAGCACTTTGTGCATACTAAAAAAATAGGAAAACTTTCGTAGCGCGAAATTTGATTGCCCAATAATGTGGTAGATGAATTTGACAGCGTCAGTGACGTAATTGAATACACCTAACCTGTTGAGCAAAAAAAAAAAAAAAAACTAGGAGAACATGACTATGCGAAAAATATCTCACCTCCCAGTATCACACAAAAGGATGAATAGGTATCTATTAGATGTCGGCTTCTGTTGTGGGAGGAGATTATTCAGTTTTTTCGTGCTTACGAAGCGCGAAATTTAAATATACTCGGATTGAACAGTCGAGTCAAATGGGAGAAATTAACGAGCGTATGCGACAGTAAGCCTCTAATTGAATATATCTTTCGCCAGTTTCAAGCAATATAAAGGAAAACAGTGACATCTCTTTACTTCAGACACGAAAGCTACAGTCGCCCCACCATCCACCCCACCGTGAATATTTGCATCCTAAAAAAATCTACCAGAATCACCCCCACGGGGAGGATTTGTCTTATCGTCAGTTTTGCCTATGGTTTCAATCTGCCGTACATATGATAATCGGAAATTTTGAAAAATCCCGCTAGTAGTTTGAAGTTGTTTCCGCCATTGTTCCAAAGTAGCCTTCTAAGGTCATTGTTAATCGTTTAACAAAGCCTGCTGTAATCTAAGCTGATCCGCTTTTCGACGAAAAGGTTATTAAATACAGAATTCGATAAAATCATAACGATAAACTGAAAAAATGTAAAGTGGAAGTTGATGGTTATCAAACTTGGTCTTTGATGAAAGTCACTGCAAAATGTCAATCACAAAAGATCAATCACTAAAAGTGAGCTGCTCAAGTCGTGAAGTAGCCCTTAAGATTCATTATATATTTTTGGTAAAAAATGTAAAAGAAGTGCCAACGTTTTGTCACGGTTCATGCATTTCTTTTAATCATCTGCTAGTATCTGGTCGAGACGATCAGTTTGCTTGTGCAAATCAAGAAGAGTGTATCCACGCGTCTTACTTCCTATATGATAAATTTTTAAAGCAACCATTATTACGCATGCATGCAGTGAATGAACGCTTCGAGATTTCTCGAGTATATTGAGTTCCCCAAGCGTTAGCATATTAATTTGAAAAAAGCTTTTCTAGAAATATAGTCATGTACCCATCGGCATTGCCTTAATTGACTGTATTAATTGACCGCGAAAACGCGAACGGTCACAACACAGGGGATATTAAATTGCTAATGTAGAGCTTACGAATAAATTTTTCTTTTACACGTAAACTTTTGTCGCCAGTGCGCCATACACAAAATTTCATAGAGCTTAACGGTATTGTAATGATACTAATAGACCAATTGAGTAACTTTTCCTTTTCTTTCATGTTTTACCTGCGCCAATCAGCTGGCCGTAAGTATCATAAATCTAAATCTATCTTTGTGTCGTTTCCTTGTAATATTGCTCGGATAACCGCATTGAAGGAATGGCATATTTTGTACACGTCGCTTGTATTTATTTGATTTACATGTAACTATCAATAGAAAATCTAAGATTGAGGATCTTTGAAGTATTAAAAAATGATTTCAAGAGGTGGATTGAAACGACAAAAACGGAACAAAAACCAAAGTTAGCTGGTCACCTCCTGCTTGATAGGGAGGCTGTATGAGATATGGAGGAAAGAAACTGATCAAACATGTTCATCGATTTCCATATATATTTACAAAGCCTTTCTGTCAAGACAGCTGAAATTCACGGATATTCATGTTATCAAAAAAAGGATAAAGTCGAGTCCTCGTCTCTTTCTTTTTTCAAAATTAGTCTAAAAGGCAAAAGAAGAAAAAAAATGACACATAGAGACCAAGGGTCAGCGGCAACTTTCTCCTTTCTGTAGACGACAGGGATTAAAATTTAGAAAGGGAATCTGTGTTAGCAAGAGCTTGCGAGTTGCTTATTGGTCTGCTTATCGGTTCAAACATATTTAGCAGGGGAGAATTTTGAGGCAAAGGCATAACCTCGGAGATGAAAATTACTGTCCTATAGTTTTTGACTTCAGAGCTAAGAAGTATGTCTAAATTGTTAGGATTATTTTAGGTTTTGTTTGTTCTTTTCCTTTTCTTAAATACACAGGCTCAATATTTTGTCTTTGAATTTAAGTTGTTTTTATTATCATACAGGAAAGTGTGCAAACTACGAGTTCACTTGTGCTAATGGAAAGTGTCTTAGTAAATGGAGACGTTGCCGTGGCGGAGATGACTGTGGTGATGGTTCAGATGAACAGCAGTGTCGTAAGTTTGTTATCACTGTCACCGTTGTCCAAATAGTGCAGTCGCCTTTCCTATGGGCTGATGGCTAACTATTCAAGTTGTGCTGTAGTAATCAGGTCGAGATACAAACAAATATTGGGAGCTGTCTCTCCTCCTTCTCTCTTTTTCAATGAATCGAATAATTAATAACTTTAACTATAATATGGACCGAGTAGGCAAAATTAAGCTTGTTCTTATTGTTGTTACTATCGACAATTTAGTATGTTTTTCTTCAGTTTCCATTTCATTTTTATTGTTTATTTAGTTGTTTGTTGTTGCTAGTTTTTTTCTTTCAACTGCAAATGCAATAAACAAATCTTGGTTACTACATAATTTGAGATTGTTTTCTTTTCTCTCAATGTACGAAACATTTTCATGGAAATATTAGCTCAAAGTAAGTAATCTTTTGGATATTTTATTAATTTCTTAACTTTGAAGTGCAAAACAATGTGTTCGCTTATTTAATCACTTACTTATTCTATGTCATTTATACTTTTCTGTAATTATTTCAGTGCAATGGTAATCACACTTTTGTCAAAGAGAAGTGTAGCAGCTACCTGTTTGAAGCATTCATGCTTGCGGGCGAGAAATTTTTTAGAAAGTTTTTTTTTTTTTTTAATCGAAACTTACTGTTGACAGTCACTAGTATACAAAACATTTACTGAAAATAATTCAATGTGTTTTTATGTTTTCCCATTAAGTTTTGAAATGAGGATAGTTTGACGTCTTTCACGTTTCCATCATGATGGCGAGGCCCCCTGTTTTTGTATAAAATGGATTTGTTTTATTTGCCCTGGCGAGCAGGATAACAATATGCTCACAGGTCACCAAGTTTTTGCAACACGACTTACAATAGCTCTTCCTTTTCAGGAGGAGAATGAAATATAAAACAGTGCGCACCTTTGCTGTCAGGGCGTTGATATTGATCTTTAGGGAATTTTTAAAAAGCACAGGGGAGGATTAACTCAGCTGCATCATTCACTATGATAATAAAAACTGCATGTCCAAAAGAAAAGCATTTAAATATTTTGATTAAATTTCTGGCACTGTATAGGAAATATCTCATTACTCTTCCCACTTTTCTATGCTTTGTTAACACGGGAATGTGATAGCCGGTGATTTTCTTTTCTTTCCTTTCTCTATGTTTTTCATGGACTGCACTTCGGAAACATCAGGAAGTAAGTGCTACTTCAATTTCTTAATGTAGATGTTACTCCTAACCTGTCACATGACCAAAAAGCTGCTAACCACTCCCATTCTGTACCCTTTCTACCAGCTGAAAACTAATAATAACAAAAGAAAAGATCAGGAGGCGTTGTACTTCATTCAGAAGTCGAGATTTGCGTTTCGGCCTGTAAAATAACCCATGTTTCAAGGTCACACACTGAATCCTAAACCTTAATGAATAATTTTACTTTAGCCTCCCTTCAGGACTCACTTAATTTTGCTTTTGCATTGTTTTGAACAACAAATGATTGTTAAAATTTGAAAAATAGCTTTATCTTGTGGCATCATATTTAACTTTGAATGCAAGTTAGCGTGGATTTGAGTCCATTCAATGTTGAAGATTTGGTTTTTTCTTTCCTTCCTATTCTCTGCAAAGGAGATATCAAAGCGTCACCATCTTAAACTTAACGAAACTTGCTTTCGGTAAAGGTCTTGAAGAAAGACTTCTCCATACTTCTGTTCCACCGAAAGAAAATCAAAATCGTTTAAAAACAATATACTTCCTTTTTCTTTTTTCAATTACACCACATTGCATAAAAAACGTTTCAATACTAAATGGCTTCGCTTTTCTTTCAGTTATTGATTAATGGGCCGATCAATTTAAGGCTTTAACATTCCCCCGTTGGGGAACGGTCGTTCGTGCCCAGGGTTAGGGAATGTGAGCCTCGCCTGGTTGGGGTGGGAATTTGAACCGGAAGTGTCGAATACAAGTGTTTTAACTTGTAATGTGGAGGTGTTTTAAGATAAAGAGTTCACTTTTGGGTACGAATGGCTCCGGAGAAAAGGTCTACCAGGTCTAGCTTATAGGGCTTGGCAATGTATAGAATATCAGGATCGCTCATTTTGCCTTTTCAAAAAAAATTGACCATCAAGTACAGCACTTGGGTAGAGTATTGAAACACAATTTTGGCCCCGGGGGCTGAAATTTGAACGGATCCACGGGTTCCCCGTGGGCGATGTTGAGGCTTCGAATTAATTCAATGCATAATTCATTTATTGGCCTACTCATTTTTCATCTAATCTCCCTAACTTAATTGTCATTCTGTGCTTTCTCCACTCATGTGCGGCCTTTGTGAAATACACCAGCGTGTAAGTGATTTTTGATTAGATTACTGAAGTTAATAATTTAGTTATAACATCTGTTTCTGCTCCACTTTCCATAACATTCCTAAATACCGCAAACGTGCGTGAGTAGCAAAACACAGGATGAGAGGATGAGGATGAGAATTTGATGTTCTTATACCAGTCGTTGTAATAGCAAAATAAATGACATATCTCGAAAACAGTTGATGAAGAATAACCGAGGCCAGCTTTCAGTCCCATATGATGATTGATGGGAAGTGTGTTAGTATTGCCTACTTTAACTGTAAATGTTAGTTGAACTGAACAATGTTTTATAATACTTGAATTCTGCTTATCCCTATCGTTTTCTTTGCTCTCGATATCGCCTTCGGTGGATCAAATACATGTAAATACATCAGGCGGTAGGTGAAAGCTTAGAACTAATTACTTTAAGGATAATGATACGTTGTCATCTCCTTTTGTTCGTTTTTGTTTGTTTGTTTGTTTGTTCAAGAATATTCTTATGATTAAAGCATGAATGACCAGCTGCATTGCGGGCACATCTGCGCCGCTGCCTTTCTTGCGTTTAGTGGACAACTAAGAACAACGAGTGCGGAAGATTTTCATAAGAGAGAGAGGAGAGAGAGGAGAGAGAGAGAGAGAGAGAGAGAGAGAGAGAGAGAGAGAGAGAGAGAGAGAGAGAGAGAGAGAGAGAGAGAGAGAGAGAGCAGAAGGTAATGTCAGCAGAAGATAATGCATTAAACACAACTTTCAGGGAACTGGGTTTAAGTAAACAGAGAGGGAAAACTGAGAAAATTGAAATATCGATGTAGAAAGGGATGATCAAAATACAACATCGACAGTACACCAGAATATTTTTTTAAATTGGCATTTTTCTCCGCTCATGCTGACATTAAGGAAACTTCTAAGCAGAAAAAGAGCAAATTAGATAAAAATCTGGCAATTACTGCAAGCTTCCTTCCCATTCAACAAAAATGCCATTGTTGACAAGTCCGCTTATAAGATCGAAAACAACTTTGTCCCTCAGTGAACAAGCGGAAAGACACGTATCAAACAGTTGCCCATAAATATTATCATATCATTACCTTTAATTGTTGGTCATTCATCCTCTATGTCTGCAGCCCAATAAACCTTCAAAAGTGTGATACGAGTTCTTATCCCTTGTGTTTAAACCTCAACCTAGATAGGATGTACTCATATAAAATAAGGGCGCGCGGTCCATACGGGTCATATGATGATTAAAATTACAATACATGCCTCCAGATGAGTTTCGGGTGTAATTCAGGCAAAGCGTCCGCTTTGAAGGGTCTCAATGGATTTAACTGTCAGCCATCAAACATCCCAAAGTTTAATCATCAACCGTTGAAAAAACAGTTCAGTTTTAACCTTCAAACGTTCAAAGACCTTTTAGATCTTTCCACCTCAGCCGCTTGCCACGAACAGTTCTAAATGTCGAAGTATTTTGCGAATGGTAGTCTTCAGGTTTCCAAATACATTCACTTCATGACAAGAGATTATATTCTCGTGCTTCGTAATCATTTCCATTTTTAACTTGGTAGTTCAATATTTAAAAATATCTTTCTAATCGATAACCTGTTGCCGACTATGTCACACCACGCCTTGTCTTGCTTGCAGAACCGGCGTAATTTTTTTGCGTCCCATTGGCGAACGGAGACAAGCGTTAGGTGAGCGCGAGGGAAGAGCGCAAAAAAAAAAAAAATACTTTCCACACTTCCACCGTTCCTATCAAATTGATCAGTGAATATCATGTGATAATCGAATATCTTTCAACAAAAGCGTAGCGTATCATGTTCTATGGACGAAGCTATTCGAGAAGCCCTTCGTTTAATTCCGAACAAGCCAACTGTAAAGGATAGGCAAAGGAAATGCATCGCTGATGTATTTACAAGCACATAAAGAAGTAAATTGGGAATACGAACAGAACTGATCTTAAAAAAAATAACAACAACAACTGTAAACAATGGGATGGGATAAATGTCATTTATGAGATTTATCCTCCGAAGGTAGCAGACGCACTAGGTTTACAAAACTTGTCCGCATACGCATTTGAAAACACCAAAATAACTGTAAAGATTTATTTACGTTCAAATATATCACCTTCTTATAGGTTTCGCTCGCATAGAAGCATATGTTTACTTGTAACATTTCTTTGGAGAAAATGTTGCCTCGACATAAAACCATGTTTGTTGTAGTCTCCGCCGGTGTTTGGGGAAAAATTAGCTTGAATAATTGGCGTAGGTACAGGGTACAGCTGGTTTTACCTTTCTTTTTTTGTACTCCTCCTTCCGTGCGTGACTCACTCTTCGTGCTCGCTTCCTACTTGCCTCTGTTTGTCGGAAAAACGCAATAAATTGCGCCTGTTCTGCGGGGCACAGGTGTTTTTTCGTGTTTTTTTCACTCCTCCTCTCAAACGTGACTCGCACTTCACGGTCGCGTCACGCTTGCCTCCGTTTGACCGAAAAACGCTGAAAAATTGCGCCTGTTCTGCAGATCCAGGCCTCCTCAATGAAACTAAGGGTTCATGGTTTCCTCTTTCTTGTCTTTCTTCATATCAAAACGGATGGTAAAAACAAACTTTTTTTTATAACCACATCAACATTCAGATAAGGAGGTTTTTCTCGGAGTTAGTCGAGAGTAAAAGCTGTGGAAAA